TTTAAGCTTGTTGGGGGTATATACACTCTTTAACTTGATACATTTTAGCCATCTTTGAATTATAGGAATCATTTGTTTATTTATTTTTTAGTTTGTTTTTACAAATTCTTTCCTCTGTCAAGTTTCTCCAAGACTAAATTTGTATTCTTTTACTTCTTCGTTAAGATTGCAATTTTGCAGCTTATTTCTCTTTGCGGATGTCATTAGAGAATTTAAGACGTGGTATAAGGTTCAATATCTTGTCTTTTTTACCATCTTTCCGATATATTATGTGCTAAAACTTAGATATTTCATGTGGAGAGTAGGCTACAATCCTTCGAGAATAGGGAATGTGTGATCTTGTGGGTGATTGTAAGACTAGAACTGCACGGTCCCCTTAGTTGCATGCTTAAAATTGTATAGAGGTGGACTTTTTTTTTTTTTGGTACAAAAGAAGGATGCCGAGGCCTAGCACCTCTAGATAGTGGTATTCCGTGGATAAACAACGCCAAAGACGTCATGCGTTAACCACGGTTTCGATTTTGGAATACTTTGTTTTACTTTTGTTTTTCTTTTATTGTATTTCAGTGATTTTATTGCTTAAATGGGCTCTCTTTAGCTTAATCTAATCAACCAATTTTGCAATTATAGTGTTTAGATTTTATTTTCTATTCTTTGTGGTCGATCATTGTTCAATCCGATTTCGAACAATTTTTTCCTCGAGACCAGATTGAGATCTTTCTCGTACTGAATTAAAAACTACTTTAGGCTTTAAACTTTGAACTTTACATTATTGGCCCACGAGGTTGGACTGTTTTTCCGGATCTACTTCCACAATCTAATCCACCTGACAATTTTAAAATTCAATATCTGTGTTCGATATATAGTAATATAGAAATATCAATATATGTTGGCTTTCAAAGGTAACGTTCACTTAAAATGTGTCAACTATCGCTCATCTGAATATTTCCATTCTTTCAATTGTAGAAGACTCACCAATTTTTACCTATTTGTTCGTGGATAATACAGGAACACCATATGCCCACAAAAAGAGTGTTGTGTTCTATTAGGAACATCGACCGATGTGCATACTTGAATCTAATAAATTAAATTTTAGCGTAGCGGAATCTATAGTGAAGATTAGGAACTTACGCTTTAAAGTTTTTGCCGACTCTGAGACGATTACACAACTTACGGGGATGGATGAACGGTTCCGAGTCGCATCCTCTAGCCCACATTCCTTTCGTGTATGTCGTTTGGTCCGATTGCCGAACGTCGTCGGGGTCTCTGGCCGTGTTGTCATGTGCGTGCTGTGTGTACTTGGGTGCAACTGCAGTGCGTGGGAGGGGCGTTGCAATGGTCCGTGTGGGAGGTTGCGGCGGTACGGTGGTGGTTGATTGAGCAGGTTGGTCGCGTCGGGGTGTTCGGTGGTCTCCGGCATTCTGGATCGCCAAGTATGATGGTCGGTTGATGAGCATCAGGGATATAAAT